GTGAGGGGAAGGGACAGTGAGTCAGTGCAGGGGTGTGAGGGGCAGGGGCAGGGAGTCAGTGCAGGGGGGGGAGGGGGAGGGGCGGGGGGGCCGGGGGGGGGGGGGGGGGGGCAGCAGAGACAGACAAATCTCTGTAAGTTCAAAGCCAGCCTGGTTTATAGAGCAAGTTCCAGGACAGCCAGGGCTATATGGAGAAACCCTGTCTTGACACCGCCCCCCCAATGTTCTTCCTTCATTGGAAAAAATATGGTTAGATTCTTCATAATGGAAGGAAAGAGTGTTTTCTATTAGCTACATCAATTTGACCTTTGACGTTCTGCGGTGTGTGTGCGTGCATGCGTGTGTGTGTATGTGTTGCCTGCAACGCTAAGGGGTTGACCCTCGCTTCACACATGCTGTGCACACCCTGTTGCTGCTGCACTTCTGCCCTGCACGGGTTTCTAGTATATGATGTCTTGAGATATTCCACTCTTGTTTTTCAGACTGTTGAAGCTAAAAGAGATGTTTAACTCTAAGTTTGGGTCCACACCGAAGTTTTATGTTCGAGCCCCAGGAAGAGTCAACATAATAGGTATTTTAAATATCTTCTTTGATTTTTTCTCCCTCTTCTGGTGGTCTGGATTTCCAGGTTTATTAGGTATATTTGTATTTTGTTTTTGTTTCTTCAGAGAGATACTTTGTAATTTCTTATATTTTAGTGTTGAGTAGTAGATTTTAGCAATTTTGTATCCAGTCTGTCTTCATAAATACGTAACGATGGATATAGCTTTAGATTATACACCAACTCATTCTTTTGTGTTTAATATAACATAAATATTTTCTTATGTTTTTGAAGAGTGCCAGCCATGTGAAAGCTCAACCAGAGGTGTCTCTTGTTTATCTTTTCTCTCTCTCTCTCTCTCTCTCTCTCTCTCTCTCTCTCTCTCTCTCTGTGTGTGTGTGTGTGTGTTTCTCTTTTTTTATTTNATTGGTATATTATTTGTGTTTTGATAAATAAAGTTTGCCTGGAGATCAGAGGGCAAAACAGACATACTAGTCAGGCATACAGGCCAGGCAGTGGGAGCACACAACATTAAACCCAGGACTCCGGAGACAGAGGCAGATGGATCTCTGTGAGTTCAAGGCTACCCTGGGCTACACAAAATCATTCCAGAAATAGATCCAGGTGATGGCCTACACCTTTAACCCCAGTATTTGGGAGTCACACATGTTTAATCACATCACTAGGGAGGTGGAGACAGGAGTGATATGGCTGGGCAAAGAGAGGAATATAATGGGGAAGAGACAACACCTCACTGGAGTGTGGAGTCTGAGGACTTGTGGAGACAGGATCTCGTCCTCTGAGTCTGAAGACTTGGTAGAGGTAAAAGGTCTCTCTAGTGGTTGGCTGCTCTGCTTTTCTGATCTTCAGCTTGAACCCCAATATCTGTCTCTGGGTTTTTATTATTCATGCTACATCAAACCCATATAAAGTTCTATTTGAACAAAGATACTTAAACTGAACGTATACATCTCAAATTTTTGAGAAGGGCACACCCTACGTGGAGGAGCTGGAGGTGTATGTATGCAGGGATATTTTAAGTCACGACCTCTAGGATGAGTAAGACTTGTCATGAGAAAATGTACAGGGAGCTGAGAAAAGTCTAGGGTCCATGGAGGATTCAAAGATACATTTATAATGGGAAATGCAAACTTATAAAACAAGTAACTGAATAATACAAAGCACTCGCATGCACTTATTAGCCAGCTTCCATTGTCAACTTAGGCCATGCTTTTTATTTTGAAGCAAATAATAGAGGATTTAAAAATTCCACAGACTCTTTGAGAATGGCCAGTGGGTGTGGTTTATAATAGCGATAAAGTCACTGAAGCGGGATGATGACCCAGGATTGAAAAGGGAGTATCTGGTGGAGGGGAATGCCTGCAAAGACATGAAGGCTGATTTCTGGAGCATAGGGCACCATCGACTCCAACCCTTTTAGTGGAGACAAGGAAGAAAAGGATGCAGCTTGATGACAATTGTGTATAGTGAACAGAGGACTGAGGACGTTCCTGTGAGGAGGGCTGGGATTTTAAGGAGAGGGAAGAAAAAATTTGAATGTGAAGGAATGGAGACAGTGAAAGGCTTGAAGAAAGCTACTTTGCTGGAAAGTACTGGGATCTGGGTTAAGGCGAACTTGTGGGCTAGTCACCAACCCAGAGATCTTGCATTTTCCTGCTGTAGCTAGTGTAAGGTAGGTGGTTTTAAGGTAGGTTTAGAGCTTTGTTGGGTGGAGTTCGCAGAGGATGACATGGAACAGGGAATTTGACAGTATGGGCAGGAGAGCTGGTGAGGCAATAAAGTCTGGCATCTGCTGGGTGGCAAAGGAAAGAAGGGAAGAAGGGCTTATGGAATGGAGAAGAGGAGGCAGAGGAGGGCAGAAAGACATGCAGGATGGGGAGCTTCAGTAGAAAGGATGAGGCTTGAAGCTCAAGGTTTATCAAAGCTTGGAGGTGATAGGAATTAGGTGACTATTGGATGCAGAGTCATGGGGGAAGACGGCCAAGGGGAAGGAGGGCCGTCTTCTTCTTTTTATACATTTTGAGAAAGGAAACCTTTTTCAAAGCAGCAGGCTGCCACCCATGCCTTCCAGAAGATCGGGTGCCCTATCCATGTATTTAAATACATGTTTTTTACTTGATTCATTATTGTCATCCTCTTGATAATTGGATAAAAATACAACTTGGTAAATGAATTCTTCACCTGTCATTGTTAATCCATAAAAGACCCTTATTATCCCGTTCTAAAGTGAATATCAATGTAGAGGCAAAAGCCTGTCTGCCAAAAGAATATCCGGGTGGTGGTGGCGCACGCCTTTAATCCCAGCACTCGGGAGGCAGAGGCAGACAGATCTCTGGGAATTCGAGGCCAGCCTAGTCTACAAGAGCTAGTGCCAGGACAGGCTCCAAAGCTACAGAGAAACCCTGTCTTGAAAAACTAAAAAAAAAAAGAATATCTGGAATAAAAATGAATGTGCAGTTGAATTGTCACCTATTAATTTCATGTTTCCTCACTAGTTATTATCTGCCAAAGAAACAATGAGATATATAAGTCTATACCGGGGAAATAAATAGCTGTGCATCCACCGTGAGATGGTAATCAGCTTGCTGCTTTATAGTCACATGACATAAATTTGGAAAATGACTGTTGTAAATTAGAAAGTGGTGGAGACCATGTGTTGCCACCTCAGGCCATGTTAGTATCTGTGGTTCTTGTTACCAACAGAGTCCACGCTGATGTTTGTGGTCTGTGCTGCTGCTGGGACCTGTGCCGATGCCCATGGCCCATATTTCCTCTGAAGAGACATTCATGGCCTGTGCTGCCACCAGAATCCATGTTGATGTCTGAGGGCCATGTTGATGTCGGAGGACCATGTTGATGTCTGAGGGCCATGTTGATGTCGGAGGGCCATGTTGCAGCCATAGACCATGTTGAAGTCTGGGGCTTGTGCTGCTGCCAAGGGCCATGATGGTGTCTGTGGTCTTTGCTGTGGCTGGAGGCTCTGTGCATGTCTGTGGTCTGTACTGTCACTGAAACCTGCTGCTGCCAACGGCCAGATAGTGTCTGTGTTACCTCTGAAGGCCATGGGGATGTCAGTGGTCTGTGCTACCACCTGAAGCCATGTTGATGTTTGTGGCCTATGTTGTAGTCAGAAACCATGTGGAAGCCCATGAGCCGTGCTGCTGCAGACTATAAAGGACAGAGAAGCTTCCTTTGCAATGGTATTGGTCACCACTCACAGTTGAGAATGAGACATGGAAGGAAGGCTTCTGTGACAACCTTCCTCTCCCTCCACAGGCTCTCCCCCTCAAAGAAAAAACCAGTCTAGACAGGAAGTCACTGAAGAGAACTCTTAACAATTGTGCTTGAGATGCTGAGGTGTAGCTTTTCACAGTTAATGGCCTCTGATGGGAGTTGGGGTGGAGAAGGACTTAGTTTTCTTTAAGGGTCTGACCACAAATTGGACTTGGTAAGTTTTTGTTTTATTTTTCTTTTTTTCTTCTTGTTTTGTTTTGGGGTGGTCACAAGGCTGGAGGCTGGGCCTTGGAGGACTGGAAGTGAATGTGATTAGGATGCATTGTGTGAAATTTCCAAATAATCAACAAAAGTATGTTAAAAAGAAAAGAAAACAAAACAAGTTAGAAAGTGGAAAAACAAGCTTAAGATAAAAAAGAAGCCTCCAAATTAACCAAAACAAATTACTTATGACTAACAGAAGTTGCCTTAAAGTGTTTGGTAGAAAGTAAATTGAGTATCTATCTGCCCATAGTATTTCACTTTTTATTAAAACTTGGACATGTTTTTCCTGTACGTTAACTGTCTGTGCAAGAATCATAGCTTTCACCTGTAAGGGGAAAAGAATTTATTCTGGAACCAGTTATGAGTGATCATGACATGGGAACATGGATACAGTTTATTCCAACCTCATGTTCCAACATGGAACAGCCTCATGAGGTTTTATATTACCAGAAAAGCAAACCACACATCAAGAGATGTTTCAGATACATTGGTGGAAGCATCAGGCAGGCGGGTTACAGCAAGGTGGAGAGTTCTCAATTCTTGGCTGTCGATGCTACCTGCTGGGTACAATTGGCCTTTGGTTGGTGAAGGTTAGGGGTCTGCCCATGTATCTGAAGGATTGACCCAGTAGTTACAAGGATGCTCAGTCACACTGAGCAGTGTGTAACGGATGGCTTCTTAGGGGGCTAAAGATGTGTGAGTTTCTACTCAGGCAATCGGCCTTGAAGCTCCAGTAAATCTGCGGTTCTCTCCAGCAACTGGTGTTTACACAGCTAGAGTGAGCTTCTTTTATTTCATATGCTAGCGATGGTAAAACCTGCTTTTCTCTTTTGTCTAGGAGAGCACATTGATTACTGTGGATACTCTGTTCTTCCCATGGCTGTGGAACAAGACATGCTAATAGCTGTGGAACCTGTGAAAACACACACTCTCCAACTGGCCAATACAAACCCCTTGTATCCGTGAGTAATTAGGATTGTTGGTGGGTAGGGAGTGTGTGTGTGTGTGTGTGTGTGTGTGTGTGTGTGTAAGCATGCAGTAATGTATCTGAATGCAGATAGACTCTAGAAAATATTGGATTCCAATTAAATCATATACTTTATTGATACTTTCTGCCTGGCATTTATCAGTATTCCAGGTCACTACTAAATTCTTATCTATTGTGTTCTTTTACACAGTTACTGAGGGAGCATTTACTAGCCAGCAAGATGGCTCAGGGGTGTTGGAGTACCTTTACCTGAAATTGATCTCCAGAAACCCACACAACAGAACTGAGTCCTGCAGGCTATTCTCTGATTTCTACATTTGTGGCATGATACATACATACCCACACTCTTTCTCACACATACATAGTAAATGAATGAATGAGTGTAAAAAAGTAAGCATTTACTGAAGAATTGTCATGTATTAGACATTGTCTCAAGTATTGAGCTATACAGAAATGAAAATAATTTTTTCCTTACCCAGAAAGTATTGATTATTTACTGAGATAACTATCTCAATAAAGTCAGGTGTTGCTATCTGTCCTTCGTTACTGTGGCACTGTCTACTCTCTTGTCAATGAGTCCTACCATGCTGTGCAGTCAATGCTTACTTACCTATGTCTCTCATTAATGTTGTATTTTCAGTTTCCTTCAAATTTTTAGTCTCAGTGTAGGACAGTATGCTATGTAATAGATGTTTCTACAACATATACTTTGTCAACTTTAAGTGTTTAATTTTCTAAAGTGTGAAGAAATCAGTTATGGTACAAGGGAGCTCATATGTAAAAGAAGCACTTCTAAAGCTTTAACCACACATTAAGCCCCACATACTAATGACAGGAGACTTCAGCACTCCCCTCTCACCACTGTACAGGTCTGTCAGACAGAAAATTAACAGAGAAATAAGGGAATTAGCAAATGTTATGGCTCAAATGGACTTAACAGATATCTATAGAATATTCCATCCAAATATAAAAGAATATCCCTTCTTCTCAGCACCTCATGGAACCTTCTCAAAAACGGATCACATACCAGGTAACAAAGCAAACCTCAACAGGTAGAAAAAATTTGAATAACCTCATGTATCTTATTGAATTACCATGGCTTAAAATTAGAATTCAAGAGCAACACCAATTACAGAAACAAATGGAAATTAAACAATGCTTACCTGAAGCATCAATGGGTCAAGGAAGAAATAAAAACTTCCTAAAATTCAATGAAAATGACCACACAACATACTCAAATTTATAGGACACAATGAAAACAGTGTTAAGAAGAAAGTTCATAGCACTAAATGCCTACATAAGGAAGCTGGAAAAATCCCACACTAGTGAGTTAATAGAACATTTGAAAACTCTAGAAAAAAAAGAAACAAACTCATCCAGGAGGATTAGATGGCAGGAAATAATCAAATTGAAAACTGAAGTCAACAAAATAGAATCTAAGAAAACAATACAAAGAATCGATGAGACAAAGAGTTGGTTCTTCAAGGAAATCAACAAAATAGACAAACATTTATCCAAACTAATCAAAAGGCAGAGAGAGAATATCCAAATTAACAATATCAGAAATGAAAAGGGGGACATTACAACAGACACAGAGGAAATCCAGAGAATCATTAGGTCATATTTTGAAAACCTGTACTCCACAAAATTGGAATACTTGAAACGGACAGCTTTCTGGATAAATATCACTTACCAAAATTAAATCAAGACCAATTAAGCAAATTAAGTAGACCTATAACTGTTAAAGAAATAGAAACAGTCATCAAAGCCCCCCCCCCCGCAAAAAAAAGCCCAGGGCCAGATGGTTTCAGCACAGAATTCTACAAGATTTTCAAAGAATAGCTAATTCCAATACTCCTCAAATTCTTCCACACAATAGAAACAGAAGTAACATTGCCAAACTCTTTTTATGAGGCTACAATTACCCTGATAGCCAAACCATAGAAAGACATTACTAAGAAAGAGAATTGCAGACCAATTTCATTCATAAACTTTGATGAAAAATACTCAAAATACTGGCAAACCAAATTCAAGAACACATTAGAAAAATCACTCACCATAATCAAGTTGGCTTCATCCCAGAGATGCAGGGATGGTTCAACCTATGAAAATTTGTCAATGTAATCCGCAATATAAACAAACGGAAGAAAACAAAACCATATGATCCCATTGGATGCTGAAAAAGCCTTCGACAAAATACAACATCCCTTCATGATAAAGGTCTTGGAGACAGCAGGGATACAAGGAACATACCTAAACATAATAAAGGCAATATACAGGAAGCCAACAGCCAACATCAAACTAAATGGAGAGAAACGCCCAGCAATTCCACTGAAATCAGGAACAAGATAATGTTGTCCACTCTCTACATATCTATTCAATATAGTTCTTGAGGTCCTAGCTAGAGCAATAAGACACCAAAAGGAGATCAAGGGTGGGGGGATACAAATCAGAAAAGAAGAAGTCAAACTGTCACTGTTTGCTGATGATATGATAGTTTACATAAGTGACCCCAAAAATTCTACCAAAGAACTTCTACAACTTATAAACCCCTTCAGTAATGTAGCAGGATACAAGATTAACTGAAAAAAAAAAATCAGTAGCCCTCTTTTACACAGACGATAAGTGGGCAGAGAAAGAAATCAAAAACATCACCCTTCACAATAACCACGAATAGCATAAAGTATCCAGAGAAACTCTAATCAAACAAGTGGAAGACCTGTATGACAAGAAATTTAAATCTTTTCAGAAAGAAATTGAAGAAGAGTCCAGAAAGTGGAAAAATCTCCTATGCTCTTGGGTAGGCAGAATTAACATAGTAAAAATGGCAATCTTACCAAAAGCAATCTACATATTCAGTGCAATGTTCCATCAAAATCCCAGCAATGTTCTTCACAGACCTCAAAAGAACCATATTCAACTTCATATGGAAAAGCAAAAAAAAAAAAAAAAAAAAAAAAAAAAAAAAAAAAAAAAAAAAAAAAAAAAAAAAAAAAAAAAAAAAAAAAAAAAAAACCAGGATAGCTAAAACAATCCTGTACAATAAAAGAACTTCTGCTATGTTCAGCAAGACCGGTTTTATCCCAGGCTTTTTTAGACCCAGGCCAGCTGGCCTTGGTGAGTTCCCGATAGAACATCCCCATTGTCTCAGTGTGTGGGTGCACCCCTCGCGGTCCTGAGTTCCTTGCTCGTGCTCTCTCTCCTTCTGCTCCTGATTTGGACCTTGACTGATAATTCAAGAACAATGGCAATGGGTTTTTGATCCTACTGCACGTATTGGCTTTGTGGGAGCCTAGGCAGTTTGGATGCTCACCTTATTAGACCTGGATGGAGGTGGTTGGTCCTTGGACTTCCCACAGGGCAGGGAACCCTGATTGCTCTTTGGGCTGAGGGAGGGGGACTTGATTGGGGGAGGGGGAGGGAAAGGGGAGGCAGTGGTGGGGAAGAGACAGAAATCTTTAATAAATAAATAAAAAAATAAAAGAAAAGAAAAGAACTTCTGGAGGAATCAATAATACCTGACTTCAAACTCTAGTTCAGTGCTACAGTACTGAAAACAGTCTGGTATTGGCATAAAAACAGACAGGAGGACCAATGGAACCAAATCGAAGACCCAAATAACAATCCACACACCTATGTACCCCTGATTTTTGACAAAGAAGCAAAAAATATAAAATGGAAAAAAGAAAGCATATTCAACAAATGGTGCTGGCCTAACTGGATGTCAACATGTTGAAGAATGAAAATAGATCCATATCTATCATCATGCACAAAACTCAAATCCAAATGGATTAAGGACCTCAACATAAAGCCAACCACACTGAACCTTATAGAAGAGAAAGTGGGACGTACACTTGAATGCATTGGCACAGGAGATCACTTTGTAAGTATAACCCCAGTAGCACAGACACTGAGAGAAACAATTAATGGGAACTTTGAAAACTGAGAAGCTTCTTTCTGTAAAGCAAAGGACATGGTCAATAAGGCAAAATGGCAGCCTACAGAGTAGGAAAAGATCTTCACCAACCCCACATCGGATAGAGGGCTGATCTCCAAAATATACAAAGAACTGAAGAAATTGGTCATCAAAAGAGCATATAATCCAATAAAAACATGGTATACACACCTAAACAGAGAACTCTCAACAGAGGAATCTAAAATGGCTGAAAACACTGAAGGAAATGCTCAACATCCTTAGTCATCAGAGAAATGCAAATTAAAACAACTCTGAGATTCCATCTTACACCTGTAAGAATGGCCAAGATCAAAACCACTGATGACAACTTATGCTGGAGAGGATGTGGGGTAAAAAGAACACTCCTCCATTGCTGGTGGGAATGCAAACTGGTACAGCCCATTTGGATATCAGTGTGGTGATATCTCAGAATATAAGGAAACAACCTGCTTCAAGACCCAGCAATACCGCTTGCTGTTGGGCATATACCCAAAGGATGCTCAATCATACCACAAGGACATGTGATCAACTATGTTCATAGCAGCATTGTTTGTCATAGGCAGAACCTGGAAACAACCGAACTTTCCCTCTACCCAAGAATGGATAAGGAAAATGTGGTACATTTACACAATGGAGTACTACACAACAGAAAAAAAAAACAATGATATCTTGAAATTTGTCGGCAAATGGATGGATCTAAAATTATCATATTGGATGAGGTAACCCTGCCGAGCGGTGGTGGCACACACCTTTAATCCCAGCACTCAGGAGGCAGAGGCAGGCGGATTTCTGTGAGTTCGAGACCAGCCTGGTCTACAAGAGCTAGTTCCAGGACAGGCTCCAAAGCCACACGGAAACCCTGTCTCGAAAAACCAAAGGAAAAAAAAATGAGGTAACCCAAACTCAGAAAGACAAATGTCATATGTATTTACTCATAAGTGGCTTATTAAATACCTGTCCAGTCTTCATGGTCAACTTTAAACATATGGTGGATTACTCTGGTGGATTTTTCCAATGCTGAGCCAGCTTTGCTTTTTCTGCATAAGCTTTAATTATACTTTCTGGTGCCACCTAGCAGTATTTTGAGCAATAATGACTCATGTATAGGATGTATAGAATGGTGGCCCCGTGAGAGTGAGTATATGGGGACAAGAAACTACTGCTGCTTATAAGATTTGCATTTTAAGCAAAAATTACTATAAAAGAGTCAAAAGTTTTAAAAATTAAAATGTTTATAAATAGAATAAGTTCTAGTAAGGCAATGTTAGTTCATCTAAGAAAGAACTTTTGAGACCAATTTGATGTCATTTATGTGTGTGTGTTTATAAAACCCAGAGTCATGTGCAGTTAAAGTCTTGGCCTTTACACTCTTTCACTCGCCACAGCTCTCTGTCCTGCATATCCCCTTGTGTTACACTCCCTAACTCAGTGTGCTAGCTCGATTGTTTACACTTATGTGTATTGAACTCTTTATGTCTGGATAGGTTCGGATACACAAATATTATCACAGTGTTAGAGTCAGCTACAGTGTTCAGCATTGGCATAGTCACTGTTGTGTTGCTGTGAAGAGACTCCATGCCCGAGGCAACTTGTATAAAGGAAAGTATTTAACTGCAGCCTTGCTTATGTTTCAGAGGGTTAATCCATTATCTTCATGGTCAGGAACATGGGGACACACAAGCGGGGGGGAGGGGAGCGGGGGGGGGGGAGAAAGACAGGACCTAGCATGGGATTTTGACACCTCAAAGCCACCCCTAGTGACACACCTCCTCCGAGGTCACATATTCTAACAAGGTCATACCTCCTAATCCTTTCAGACAGTTGTCACCTGGGGACTAAACATGCAAATGTATGAAACTGGGGGCCATTTTCATTCAAACCACAAATATATATGTGTTTAGTAGGCTAAACATTCTACTTCTGTGTAAATACTTTATATTCTATATTATTTGTACAATGACAAAATTGGCTAATGATATGTCTTTTACACTATATCCCTGTTATTAAATGGTAATGATTATATTATGTATTTGATTTGCAAATTACAGGAAATAGAGTTGTCACATGTGGTCCTTCTGTTTCTAAATATCTTCGTTATTGTGAGTAACTTGACAGTGAACATGGGGATAGTAGATGTTTCAAATACTCACTTCATTTCCCTTGGGTGTGGATACCAAGCAGAAGGATTTCTAGAGCATATGCTCGTTCTGATTTTAATTCTTTGGAGAAACACCATATTGTTTTCCATAATGGTTGAGCCAAATAGCATTCCTACCAACAGTACAGAAGTGTTCATTTTCTCAAGACTCTGCCAACACTTATTTTACTCACGCCATATGCCATTACTGTAAGATTCATACTTCTTGGAGGCATTATCTTATCCTGTGTATGTGTGTGTGCATCTTATGTTACTGCATCGGGATTTATGTGTTTGGTGTTATTTTGCTTTTTTTTTTTTGCAGCTCTATTCTTCCTGGATGTCGTAGAGGTGAATGTGTAGTGTAGAAAATAATTCCTCAGCCCAGGAGCTCTCCATATTTTTCTGAGTGGGATGTTAATGGGAGAGCAACTGTAGGTGTTTGCTATTACTATCATACAATGCCTAATAGCATAGCATACTCAGATTTTAATTAATGTGGCTAGGAGATACTTGAAAGCAGTCCTGCAAAGGAATTTTAAAGCTGTAAGTGCATATATTAAAGTCAGAGAAGGGCCAGTGAGATGTTTTAGTGGGAAAAATGAAGTACTATCAAACCTGAGAGCCTGAGGTCAATCTCCCATGTGTTGGAGGGTGAGAACTGGCTCCCACTACCTGTGGAACACAGGTAGTACTCATGGTATGATATGTGGACACACACACACACACACACACACGTGTGTGTGTAAATAAATAAATAAAAAAGTAGAAAAGAGTCTGATCTCAAATAGTTAACTTAATTTCCTCTAGAGCCTTGGAAGAATAAGAACAAGCTAAATCAAAACTCAGTAGATTGAAAGAAATAGTTAGGATCAATGCAGAAATTAACGAAATGGAAATTTAAAAACACAATGAATTAATGAAACGAAGAGTTCTTTGCAAAGGTGGACATGACCAATTAACTGTTAGCCAAACTAGCCAAAAGAAAGAGAGCAAAGGCCAAAAGGAATAAAGTAAGAGATGAAAGGGAGGCATTTAATAGACACCTATGAAATTCAGTAAATTATTGTAACATACTTTAGAGCTCTTACAGTCTATGATATTGAAACATTTGAAAGCAGTGAATGAATTCTAGATGCATATAAGCTAAACAAATTAAAAGGATAAAATTAACAGCTTGTAGAGAATAAACAGTGAGATTCAATCAGCAGCTAAAAGCAAAACAAACCCGGAAAAACCTCAATTAAGCAAAAACATTTTCAGTTTAATTAAAGCCCAAGTTTTGGTAAGGCCTGTTGCTGAGGAGACTACACGCTTTGGTCATAAGACATGAAGAAATAGCATTGATTCTGACCAAGAAACTTATCCCCTGTTGACTAACCTTCATTGTAGTAGGAGCTAATGTAGAGTAAAGGGGGCAGCCAAAAAACTCACTCTGGCTCTGAACTCAGAACCAGTGAAAGAAACACACCCTGGATCTAAGACTTGAGCCAGTAAAAGAAACACTATCCCTAAACTTAGAACCAAAGAAATATGCCCTGACCCTGAAACCAGTGCCAAAGAAACACACTTTGTCCCTGTAATCAGAGTCAGTGAAAGAAATGTGCCCTAGCCCTGGAATTAGAGCCAATAGGCTAAAAAGGACCATGAAAGAAACATAGTTTGTCCCTGAAATCAGAGCCATCTCTGCCCCTGACCAACTAAACTAACCAGTCCCTGAGCAGGGAAAACTAACCAATCCTGGAGCAGAAAAACGTTTCCCTGGGAAAACTCTGCCCCTAAGAAGCCTTGTATAAGCCCCTCTGCCTGTTCAGTTGTGGGCAGTCCTTTACCACCCTGGCAGAGGCCGCCCCTCTTCTGGACTCCTCCTTTCCAAATAAAACGCTTTCTCAAAAGAGTCTTGAGTGAAGATTATCATTCGCCAGTGCGGACTAGAAAGAAAATTTGGCTGGGATGTCCTCAGGGGACTGAGCAGAACAACCTTGCTGAGACGTTCATCTGGTTCAAAAGAGCCAGATGTTGGGGAGGGTGAGTGAAACGGTATTTCCTGGTGCGACAGGGCTGCTACAATCCGGAGCACATAGCAGCTGCACTTGCTGGCTTATGGTGAAGTCAACATCCTAGCATGGACTGGAGAGAAGCTATGGATAAGCTGATGGTTTCCTGGGGAAGAAAAGCCATTTTTTTTTTTTTTTAAGAATATGGCCCTTGATAGGTTGACTATCCATGGGTGACCCCACACCAATGAATAAATGCGAAGCACAAACTGGGTTATTAAAAAAACAGGGCATAAAATTGGCTGGGGTTGGGGACTTGGAGGTAGATCTGGGAGAAATTTTGGAAATATGTGGGGACGTGAATATGATCAAAATACATTGTATGAAATTCTCAAGGAATTAATAAAAATATCATTAGCAGTTCCAGCCTACACGTTTTTGCTGCTGAACTCTACCAGACCTTTAAAGAAGAGCCAATATGGATGCTTCATAAACTATTCCAGAGAATAGAAAATGACGGAAGAAGACACCCGCAGTGGTGGGGAAGGCATGTGCAGAGTAGGGGCGGGAGGGGAGGATGCTAGGCTTTCGGAGTAATTCAGAGAAGCAGTGGCTTTCTAACGGGAAGCTGCTATTTTCTTCTTCCAGTTAATCTGGTGATGGTAATGAGGTAATACTTCACATCTGTGCAAATAGTCTTGTTTTTATTAAACCCTCACTTGCTCAGCAGCCATCGAGGAAACCATTATCATGGAACTTACATGGATGCTTTAAAATTTCCATTATTTCTTTTATATTGGATAATTGCTTTTATACTTTATTCATTATTAGAGTGTGTGTGTGCGCGCGCGCGCTCGCGCGAGAGAGACAGAGAGAGGGGGAGGGAGGGAGAGAGAGACAGAGAGAGAGAGACAGAGAGAGGGGGAGGGAGGGAGAGAGAGACAGAGAGAGAGAGACAGAGAGAGGGGGAGGGAGGGAGAGGGAGAGAGGGGGAGAGAGGGAGAGATGCATGTGTGGCATGCATCTCTATAGCACACGTGTGGAAGTCAGAGGACAGCTTTGTAGAACCAATTCTGTCTTTCTTTATGTGGGTTCTAGGGATGCAGTTGTTAGGGTTATATGACAGGTACCTTATCCACTGAGCCTTCCCACTGGGCCTGACAGGATTATATGACAACTACCTATCCGCTGGGCCATCCTGTTGGTCCTGGTATTGAATTATGAAAACTAATTTCCCCTTTTCTTCATTTAGCTGTTTATTTAATTATAAACTTATATCAGTGTAGAATTGTACTTCTGTGTCAATGGGGCATCTGCTGAGTAGCAGGCCCAGAGGGTCGTGCGGTTTACACTAGCTAACGAAAGAGAGAGTGGATGTAGATTACGCTACAGCATGTTGTTCCCTATCAGATTTTGGAAATGAAAAGGGTCAATTAGAGGTAGATTAGCCATTGGGGCTCTCAGCCTTCAGCAGCTGGAGGTGTTCGCTGTTTGCAGGGGGCTGTGAGATGCATTGAAGGTAAATAGAAAAGAATACGCGGTACCACTATTTTGTCACAAGGGGGCAGCAGTCAGCCATTGATTTTTCTCTCTAGTCATACAGACTTAAATTAATGGGGCTTGCTTTTGTTGTTCCCCCCAGAGACTTCAGTACTAGTGCTAATAACATCCATATTGACAAAACCAAACCGGTATGGCACAACTACTTCCTATGTGGATTTAAAGGAATTCAGGTAAGTTGACTCCGACTAGCCTTTGAGATGATATTCATGTTATTCTAGATTTACTCTATCATGCCGTGGTCCCCTTTCAGTACTGAATCTCTTCTTGCATTTGGCTAACTTCTGTTTCTGAGGGTGGGGAAGGCATGACTGTTTCCGAGTAGTGTGTGTCCGGGGCAGTCATGATTTTTATCTGACTGGCAACATTAAATATGCCACAAGGGAGAGGCTGTCCTGGTATTTATGTTCTGTTTGTGGGAGACGCAGGAGTGTACTGGAATGGGACATAGAGCAGCCATACATCTGAATGTGGGTTTGGTTCGGCTTTGTTAATTTGCATTATCTTGGCTTTATCTGTAAAATGATGTCACTGTTACACAGAGAAACCCTGTCTCGAAAAACCAAAAAAAAAAAAAAAGATCTTTTTTATTTTTATTTTATTTTATTTTTTTAAATTTCTTGAGACAGGTTTCTCTGTGTAACAGCCCTGGCTGGCTGTCCTGGAACTCACTTTGTAGACCAGGTTGGTCTCAAACTCACAGAGATCCGCCTGCCTCTGCCTCCCAAGTGCTGGGATTAAAGGCGTGTGCCACCACCGCCTGGTGATTTATTTGTTCTTATTTTATGTGTGTGGGTGTTTTGCCTGCATGTATGTCTCTGCACCACATGCATTCCTGGTGCCCACAGAATGCAGAAGAGGGTGTCAGATCTGTTACAGACTGTTGTGAGCTGCCATGTGGTGCCTGGGATCGAACCCAGGTCTTCCTTTGTAAGAACCATATATGGTTTTAGCCACTGAGTCAACTCCTTAACTTTAATTTAAAAATCGACACCCACTCAATAATCATTTTAGATGTAGTGACTCTGGTAATATCACAGATAAAGGATATTAAGAAATAGACCTTTTGTCTTTGTGAATCAAAAGGAAATGAGCAAATACGCTTTTCTGTTTTGTTTACTTATTTATTTTTTGAGAGCTTAAGATCCAAGTGGCCTGGAGGTCCTATCTGAAACTGTCCCAAGAAGCTTAGGGCTCAGTGACATGGCTGTCCCAGAAGCCCAGCAGAGTGACTTGGGACGTGGAGTCCTGCTGTCATGGAGGTCTGGCCTAGGAGGACAGTGTTCATTTCTTGAGAATGTGTCTTTTTTCCAGACACATGGTAATAACTTCTGGGAAAAGTTATTGGCCTGTTTTAAATCTTCAAATCATCTGGATTGTCATCCACATTAGTGGGAATTAGAGGATTTGGAAGCACTGGTCAGGCAAATGCAATTTGACCTTCCTTAAAAAAAAACATGCCTTTTTGTATCTTATGGGAAAGTGATCTATCTATCTATCTATCTATCTATCTATCTATCTATCTATCTATCTACTATCTATCATCTATCTATCTATCTATCTATCTATCTATCTTCTATCTATCTATCTACTATCTATCTACTATCTATCTATTATCTATCATCTATCTATCTATCTATCTATCTATCTATCTATCTATCTATCTACTATCTATCTATCAATCAATCTATCATCTATCTTCTTGTATTGTTTTGCATCCTTTTAAGGGCTTTAAACCTTTCTCTTTGATTTGACAACTTATGTGCAAAAACACAGGTTTGTACAATGAACTTTAGGGGAAAAAAAGTCATTTCAGTGTTAACCAGTCCAGAAACTTCAAATTAAAATACTAGAAAGATCCAAGGGATGATCTGTTTATGTGAAATTGAACATGTTATCCTTCTGGGATAGAGCTAGTCAGTATTTGGCACAGCCCATTCGTGTTTTCCAGCGTGCTATGACTTTTGAACTTAAACACTGTGTGCTAGGTCTGCTAGTATGATTCACATCCAAGACGCTCTGTGGATCACTTATGGTTAAATGTACAGCACTCCCCGAGGACTGCCGCTTCTGGCAGCTGCCTGGCGTTCTGTGTGCAGGGGCGTTGGCAGCAGCGCGTCTTCAGTACAGCACTCTCCAGGACTACAGCTTCTGCGCGGGCTGCCTGGCGTTCTGTGTGCAGGGGCGTTGGCAGCAGCATGTCTTCAGTGTATAATTTGTTTGTGTTTCTGGAAGGAGAGTTTAAGATGACTTGGAGTCAGGAAGCACATCTGACTCTTGTCTTTTGTGGCGGATGACTTTTGCCAAGGAAGAAAAAAGGACAAAAAAATTAAGGACAAAAACAGTCTTTATTCACAGCGTTTTGTTGTTCTTTTGACTAGTCTAACTTGCTTATTGAAATTTCTCCCTAGAAGAATATGTATGATGAAATGCATAATTAGGTAATGTAATAGTTTCTCTCTCATACTTTGAGAAGTTTCTGAGGAAGACCACGTTTTTACTGAAGTGCTGCATTTATTTTCAATTCTAAACAAAGATTATAATATGATATCACCCCAAATCCGATTTTACACATCAATTCAAGCACATTAGAGATTTCTACCTTTATTCCAGAGTCTGGTTTAATTGGCCTTCACTGTTGGTAGAAAAATTTCTCTTCCTCCTCTGGGGCCTTCAGTATCATTTATACTAAATTTTAATCTGACTGCCTTTAAAGCTACCAGATGGCTAAATTCTATCAATAACTCCTATAAAAACTCTGAATTTCCTCACATTACTGACATACATTTAATGGTAGAGACCCCATCTTCCACATGGGTGGAGAAGTCCTAACTGGGACTCAGTCTTGGGTCACAATTCCAGCATCCTTTGTGTGATTTTGGGAAAGTCTTAGAGTCTTGAGTCTCCCAGGGTCCTTCGTGTGATCTCCAGGACGATCTCTTAATCCTCCAGTGCTTACGTTTTTCTCTGTGAAAAATGGAGTTGATAGAGCTGGCGCTTTGCTTCTTCACAGGGCCTCCTGAGGCCAAACACCCTGGAAACAGCTGCTGTTGGGTTAAACTTTATACCAGACACTGGCAGGCTGAAGCTCAGCCCGCTCACTGGTAGAGGGGAATTCTTGCCTTGCTGGGCAATTTGAATTCTGGTTGCTTTTTAGGTTTACTATACTTGTTCAAATCAGTTAATATTTCAAGAAAAACCATTCAAGGCAATTTAGGAAGAAAATCAGTAACTTTTCGTTGAACAAAACGAAAAGTCATTGTCAGATTGCCTCACATTGTGGGCAAGGGCCATTAAATCAGATGGCATGGGTAGCTTCCTCTGTGTTGAATCATACAGCTTAGCATCTCTTGGTAGACTTTCTTCCCTCTGTGGAAGAATAGAAGTTTCTACTGCCTCTTGAATCCAACCCCGAAATGACTATTTCCGTGTTGCTCTTTCTTTCCTAGGAACACTTTGGTCTTAGTAAACTGACGGGGATGAACTGTCTGGTAGACGGAAACATTCCCCCAGGTTCGGGCCTCTCCAGCTCCAGTGCTCTGGTCTGCTGTGCTGGGCTAGTGACTCTCACAGTGCTGGGAATGAGTCTATCCAAGGTCAGTACCCGTGACATTAACCAGAAAACCTTCTAGACAGCATCTTCATTGGAAAGTCAGGAAGAACATCTTCCTTGATGCTGACAACCTGTCTTAACCGGAAAGGAAAAGCCAGCATCTGTGGGCAAGTGTTTGGTCTAAGGTTGGTCACTGGAGGGGTGCTGATAGTCTCCAGACATCCAGTCATCAGGGCTGTGCAACTGTAGTGAGTTGCCCTTGGATTATATGCGGAGCTTGAGTAGAAGCGTCACTTTAAAAAAGTCTCCTGATTGTTGACAAGATACATTCAGAGCAAGACATTTTAGGCCTTGAGGTTGGAGCTGTTCCCCCACCCTATCTAAAACCTTAAGTATTGATAGGCAGTGGACAGAAAGCACAGAGAATATGTAGCAGGAGCTGTTTGTTCCGCCTGGCTCCTGCGTGGCTAGCTTTACACCTGAAATAACAACACACAAATTGTATTCATTAAAACACTGCCTGGCCCATTAGCTTTAGCCTTTTATTGGCTAACTCTCACATCTTGATCAACCCATATCTAATAATCTGTGTACCATCACAAACTGGTGGTTTATTCTAACCACCATCTTCCCAGCATTCTGTTCTGTCTACTCCACCCACCTATGTTCTGACCTATCAGGCCAAGCAGTTTTCTTTATTAATTAACCAATGAAAGCAACAGATAGATAGAAGACCTACGTACATCAGGAATAGGCAAGAAAGCAACCAAATTTATGTCTGTTAATACCCAATACTAGTAGGTTAGTCACTGAAATAAATTCCAAAATTATTCCTTCAAAGAGGAAGCATACCTTAAGGAAACTTGAATCCTACTTGAGGTCAGAACACCATTACAAGTTTGCATATATCTCTGGTTTTGCAGTTCAGAGCAGGTGTGCTAAGATTTAATTAGAACTTGGGTGTTGTGCTTCAAGGGAAAGGTTATTGCAGGTCCCCCCCCCAGTGGTTCCCAATCTTCCTAATGCTGTGACCCTTTAATACAGTTCATCTTGTGGTGACCCGACCGTAACATTATTTCTGTTGGTACTTCCTAGCTAAATTTTGCTACTGCTATACGTTGTAATGTAAATATCTGATATGCAGGGTATCTGATATGTGACCCCAAAGAGGTCCCCATCCACAGTTTGAGAACCACTGTTTTAAACCCATACATGTAAACCAAAGCTCACAGGTTGTTTGGGAACAGACTAGGCAGTAGGCGGAGAAAGAGAAAGCTAGCAATATTCTTAGTTTGTAAAAAGTGTGTTTAAATTTTTATAGTGAAAATTTTATATATGGGAAATGGAGAAATAAAAAAAGAAAACAAAGATTTAGAATTCCCTTGTTATACACATGCTTGTTTCATGGGAAAATTAGCTTGCTCACTGCAGTACTATTTGCGAAAGAAAAATTTGTATGTGACCTATGCCTTCTCTGGCACAACCTTTAATCTGATAGCTAGCTTAGCAAGCATTTATTTTAGTCTGCTTGTTGTAATAAAATACCCAAGGTGAACAGTTTAAGGGAGAAAAGACTCATTTAGCTGAGTTTCTGTGATTTCAGTTTACAGTTCGCTGGCTACATTGTTGTAGGTCTGTGCATGGCAGAATATGGGGTACAAGGGCAGGATAAAGTAAAGCTGTTCATGGAGACAGGGAGGGGGGAAGAAGGGAGAGGAGGAGGGAGGGGAGAGGGAGGGAGGAAGGTTGGTGATAAGATATAGTCTTCAATTTCATGCTCCCAGGGACTCACTTCCTCTATAAGGCACCAGCCCCAATAGCTCATTCAGCTTTGAACTAATCAATCTAATTAATGCATTAGTTGTTGATCTGGTCAATACCCCCATGATCCAATCACTCTCTACAGTGACACACCAGCTGGGGACCAAAGCCTTCAACACAAGTATTTGCGGGGGCATTTCCTATCTAAATCACAGCATCTAACCCTTATTGTTGAATGACACCTTTGTGCTGGAAATGCTATGGCATGGCTGAAATAAATAAATGGGGTTGACTTCACTATGTTGGTGATTTTAATAGATGCAGATAAAGAGCAGCTATAAGAGAATGTGACGTAGTTAAGAAGCGTGATGGAGTTGCAGGTCTAACTGAGATTCAGAGAGCACATGTAAGCTGAGATACCAAGGACTTAAAGACTTACAGATGTTAGTCTAGAAATACTAACAGTATCTTCACAAGGTGGAGCTCCTTAATTTTGGACTTCCCAGACTATAGACCAATGGGTGATGTAAATTCTATTGTGTTTTGTTTTGTTTTTAGATAGGGTCTTTCTCTGTGTAGCCCTGGCTTTCCTGGAACTCGCTATGTAGATAAGGCTGGCCTCGAACTCACAGAGATCCACCTGACTTTGCTTTTCAAGTTCTGCGATTAAAGGCCTGTGCCACCACATCCAGCCTGAATGTTTTGAAGAAAGGAGGACAGGGAATATGATGGTGAAACTACATCAGATAATTGTGTTAGCAGATGAAAGGGACACAGTGGGAGTAAAATTATCTTGGATTGTTGGAGAAACTAAAAGATGTTCATGATGGCTGGAGCCTATAGTAACTGGATTTCATTAGAGACCAGATGCTGAGAAGTTGAGTAATTTGAATGTCATGTAGATAGTATTGGGGAACAATTGCTGGCTTTAATTTTAAGAAGAAGATAACATGATTTTATCCGTATCTGAGAAAGATCACAATGGGTATGCTATAGATTGAAAGTAACAATATTAGCAATAAAGAGGTGATTTAGTGTGCAGGAGTTGGGGTGAGAATGGAAGGAATTGGATATTCAGTTTAAGGTCCATCTTGGACAGAACCAGTAAGCTGTGGGCATTGATTGGTTGTGAGGATAGAGAACAGAGTCAAAGTTTTTTTTTTTTTTTTTCTTTTTTTTCCCTAGCTGTGTGTGGTGCCTTAGAGTAGGGATCTAGATGACACTGTGACATAGACACATAGAGCTTCTCAGTTGTGAACAACACCTCTGGTGGTCAGGTTCCTTTCAGGATCATCTGTTTTACAACTAACTCTAGCTTTTGAGACAGGGTGTCCTAGGCTGTCCCCAGACTCCCCAGCCTCTGGCTGGCATAGTGGCCTGGACTACGTTGTCCATCTTTCATTGCCCTTTGAGGCCTCCAGAGTCGGGGAAGCCAGGCCTGGTAGGTAGAGCAGGCTGAGACGCCATACTGGGGAACAAGAGTGAGGCAAGGGCCCAACAGCTTCTATTGAGGAGGCCGGGGAGTAGTCCGAGAGGAGGGAAACCAGAAAGGAGGAGCAGCAAAGACAAGGGAGATGGCCCTTTGTCAAGTAAGTGGTGGCTTGTGAGCTGCTGCCAGGAGGCCAAGAAAGTAGGGTCTGAGGAGACGCCATGCCATACACCAGGAAGGGACTGCAGGTGTTGTGGGCAGTAGCAGAAGGGGAGAGTTCATTAGATATAAAAGTCTGTCAGTGCACACAGAGAGGGAGGGCTGAAGTCAAGAACATCACTTTTTTTTTTTAATGGGAGGATGAAGCTTCTTCTTCTTTTTTTTTTTTTTTTTTTTTTTTTTTTCGACCCTTAATATAAATGTCTAAGGGGAAAAAAGATAAAATAAAAAGAAACACTTGAGCTTTTAGAATTAAATTCGGCTCTCTTTAGTTCCCCAATTAAAAATTATATATATATATATATATATATATAGTCAGTACTTACTGAGTCCAGTGCTTTGAGCACAGAGGGAACAATGTGTGTCTGACTCTACCCGATAGTCTAAGCTTCCTGACCATATTTATGTTGATATTTTCTAGAGAAGCATAATTATAAAGAGGGGTTTAGTTATTAATTTGTTCACTTATTGAAATGAGACCAAATCTTGATTGAAAGGAAAAACATAATTTCTCAGGGCTTTAAGTGCCAACTGTACATGTGGCTCTTACAACATCAGAAGCACAAGAATTTAGTGGACTGTAGACATGAGATAGTTCCCAATCTTCCTTTTTATTTGTGTTTTAGTTAGTACCCTGATAAGAAACAAACGGTGCGCAGAGTCGGGCTGAGGCGAGAGTGATAAAGGCATCTGTAGAGGCTCCAGGCCTGGGGAACGGTCCAGGAAGAGTTCCTTGGTGAAGTCAGAAGCCACAGTGTTAGGAGCAGCTTGGGGGTGGCGTTGTTGACGTCTAGCAATAGGAGAATAACAGGGTAACACGGATGGAAATGACAAGGGGTGATATGAGCCGGGGAGCTGTCTGCAGAGACCCATCTCGGGCCAGAGCCTCCTGTGGTACTACAGGGGCCGGGGACAGAGGTCGGGATAACTAGTGAGGGCCCACAGGGATGGGTGACTGAAACATTTCCAGTTCTTTCACATTGGATATGCCAGTTAGCTGCACTCACTGCATGTAGATGTGGAAGTTATTAACATTCATTAATAAAGTAAAGGTTTCTGGGGGAAGCCAGTAAAACAATGCCTATTGCCATAAAGATTCCAGAGAGCAAAAGGGATGAGTGGCGGTGACAGGTGGCAGCCGAGCAGGCAGCATGGTAAAGCACTGGGGAAAAGGGAAGCACTCTTTCTCCTGCTTTCAAGATGCCAGAATAAAGGAACAGCTGCGCTTTCCTTCGCCAGCCTGCACTCAGGCTTCGCTTCCGAAGCAGGGAAGATTAAGAAACGTAAATACAAGTTCTGTCTTTGATAAACCCGAAAGCACAAAGCACAGAGATGAGAAGTGGATGGGAGAATGCCGTATGACTTAGCAGAATGAAGAAAGGTCGGCGCTAAGTGCCGCGGAGGAGACATAGATAGAAGCAAGCTGACTCACCCCGCAGTCTCAGGGAAGGGCAGGAAGAAGGCAGGGTAGAATGACAGGGTGGGGCAAGGTGGGGAGTGTTTTTAGTTGGGGACCAATTAGACCCTTGTAGCCCTGTCTTACCTGGGACCACCCCGTCCCATGTGCACCAGTTCCTGGAGAAACCCCAGAGACTTTCTGGATTTAAGGGCACCGACCACCGAGAAAGGCAAGG